AGATGAGATGAGAGATGAGAGATGAGAGATGAGACAAAAATAGAAGAAATAACAGATAAGTGATAAAATAGAGAATGCATAGTAAAAGACAATGGGATAGAAAAGAGATATGCGCAACATATCAAGTTTTCCCATAGGAGTCCCACTTAAAAGCTGCCAAACATCTTAGGTACCTATTTGGTACACCTAGGATGGGTTTGTCGAATTTAAAAAGAGGACATTTGTAGCTTAGTAAGGTATTTCAATTCTAAATTTGTTGGGTGCACTAGCACTAGTGCCATCTTTGGCATTCAGATAAATAGGGTTTCTTGATTCTGTTGGAGTGGATGTTGTAGAGAAGCTGAAAGAAACTTAAAGGGACCCAAAAATTGATGGAAGACTTCTAGAAACTATGAGATTCAACTTATCATAAACTTTATACTTTTCATAAGAACCTTCTTCATTGTTAACTTATAAGTTCTTTGAGATAACTTATAAAAACAACATATAGCACATAAAAAAACAATATTTAAATTTATTTTATCTTTTTGTTATAAAAATAGCTCAAACAAATTTATTCATAAACGCTAGTAAGCAAGCTGCAAATAAACTGTTTATCCAAACAGACCCTAAATAATCTCACACAAACCAATCCAAAGAAGTTCTTACTTAAAAACACAAAAGCATAGTTGAAATCAAATAATAAAAAAACAAATACAAAAAAAATAAATTATAGAACACCTGTGGGTAAATCCCTCTTCTCCCTGCGATGCCTTCTTGAACCTCGTTGATCAGCCTGTTTTGCTGGATTGAACTCATCCACGCTATTATTGAGGAATTGAGGTGGTCCTGGAATCTCAATTAGAAAAAATAAAAACAGAAAGAAAAAACCAACAAGTTCAATAACTAAGAGAATCAAGATTCAAATTTCACAAGAGGAAAAAGAGATAAATCTTTGATATTTTAGGGTTTATCAAATTTTAAACAAATTACTTCGGAGAAAGCGTCGAATGCAGAAGGAAGACCGGAAGCAGAAGGAGGTGGGGGAAGGTGGTCGAAGATAGATCTATCTCCCAACGACGGATGGGAAGCGGCGGAGGGTTCGCCGGCGTTTTCGTCGGCGTATTCTTGGTCGTCGGTGTCGGAATCGTGGATGGGAGGTTGGTGGGGTTCATCTTCTTCAGCAGACGAATAGCCTTGAATGAGAGACAAGCTCATTGTGAGTGAACCCTAGTAGATTACAGTAACCACTTCTCACTCTCCCAATCTCTTCGTATAACAATGGTGGTAACTATGTCATATCAAAATAAAAGATAATAAATATATAAATAATATACTCATTTTAAGCTATTTGAATTTTATAAATTTTATTTTTTTTAAATATGTCACCCACAAATTCTTAGTTTAACAATTTATTTTTTAAATTTATTTTTTATAAGTTTATACACCAATAAAAAGACTTGTATGATAATTGATTTTTTTTCACGAGTTTATAATTTATAATTTATTTTATCAATTTATAATATATTTTTTAGATGCTATTTTAAATGGTATTTTAGATGATACTTTATAATTTATCTTTATTATTTTAATTAAAATTTACTATTATTTTTTATAATTAATTTTAATTTAAAATCAAATAATTTTATATTAAATATTTTTATGACATTTTAATTTATCAAGTAATTGAACCGTTAATTTTATCGAATAATTTATTTAACTTATCAGTTATAACCCATCAATTATATAAACTATCACTCATCAATTATATAAACTATGAGTCATCAATCAATTATAAGTTATAAACTACTAACTAATTTATTAATTAACCGTTATTTTTATCTAAGAAAGTCTTATGAGAGATACTTGTGCTTATTTAATGATCGGCAAGATTATTTAGAATAAAATAGATTTATGAAAATTTCTTATATTTATATTTTTAGATTTCTCATTTGTATTTTGTTCACCATACTTTGTTAATTTTTATTAATGAAAATTTTTTTTTGTTTTTTTAAGAAACTAAAATGAGATATATATTAACGAATAAAATGAGTAAATCTAGTATAAGATATACTTAAAAACAAGAAAGAAATCAAAATTATAATCTAAAATTCTGAAAAAATAGCAAAAAGCGATCTACATAATAGTTGATAAACAAGTTAAAGGATTTGACCTCCAATCATAATCGAAAGTATCATATTTTGATTTCAACCATCAAAAGGATTGAAGTTTTACCCTTTCATATAACGTCTGTAACTGCTCCACTTTATTCTAGAAAATATGTGTATTTCGCTCTTTCTAAATAACTCAAACTACAACGAATCAAATAGTGTTGAAAGCCAATCAAATATTTTTTGAAAATTCACCAAGTCCGCCAAACTGTAAAAGATGGTCCAAAACCTTTCTTTGAGATGTCGCTGGGAACTCTAGCCAATTAAAAATAATAGCCCACAACCCAGTGAAAAAATCACATGTTACGAACAAATGATTTATGTCTTCATCCACACCATGATTTATCGCATATCTTTGATCGTTTGAGGCAAGAATCTACTGCCTAGCCAAATTGTCCTTCATCGAACTATGATTCAGTAACAACCGTCCGACAAAAATAGACATCTTAAGAGGAAAATTCTTTAAACACAAAAATTGGAAGTTTGCTTGATTATTGTTGATATCAACTTCATACAAATTTTTATAAGTATTGTTAAACGTGTAGCAAGAAGAAGGATGTAAAGTCAAAACCCACGATCTTCTACTTACACCTGCAAAACAGTTAAGGCTAATCATTGTTTACAGTTAAGGCTAATTATTGTCTTGAAGTTTTGAAAATGCGTTTTAGCAAGTAAAGAGAATTTTGTAAGAATATGAATTCAACTTAGGATTTGCAGTAAGCCTTACAGGAGTCGAAATACCTTTTATAACAGTATGTTTTCGAATTAACCCATGCTTCAATTAGGACTTTTGAAAGGTTGTAGCATGGTCTGGTTCACGGTTTAAGAAACAAAGGATAAGGCTCAAAGTGTATTTGTACCCGCTCGTTCTTCATGATGTTCTCCAGTCTTAAACTCAGTTAATTATGCATTTGAACTTCAATTAAGTCTGAAATGACATTTTGGTGATGGTTCAGACAAGTTAAGTTTGTCAGAAGGCAGTCATTTTTGCATCATTTTTCATGTTGTCGAGAATTTTTAGTGACCTCTTTTTGATTTATTACCCATAATTTTTGCCTGATTGTTCTTGTTTTGAGATTACTGTCAGCGGGATGCCCCAGTTTTTTCTTAAGTCTCCTTTGTAGGTTTTGACTTAGTGGGATTTTCTTTTAAGAGATAATGACTGCCTACTTGATAGGGAACCACCGTCGTCTTTGGATTTAGTAGGATGTTTTTGATGTCATTCGTTGTGCACGAAGTGAAAGTTTACGACTGAACGCGTATTTGAGTTAACTGAGAGACTACCCCGCCCCAGGTTTTGATTAAAGGTTTTTATTTGTGTAAAAAAGAAAACTCCTACTTCTTTGGCTCAAAGGGTTTGACTAGGAATTATCTTCCTTATAACTCTAGTGTTTGGGGATTGGAAGAAACGCATGTACATCATCAACAAGGTCTGTTCAAAAGCATACTGTGTGAGATCATGTCATTGTTTGCGTCATCCTCCCTCTAAAGGTTTGCAACTTTTTGAAAAAAGAGTTGAATATCATAAAGGTAGTAAAAAGCATAGTTTAAAAATGAATGGATTAATTCAAGACAAATATATTTAATGCATTAATGAAACAAAGTTTAATATTAATAGATAAGTATTTGAATAACAAAAGAGGTTACAATTGAAAATTCAAAAAATGAAATGGACGCTCTCAATGATTTGGCATGGGAGCAGTGATCATGTTGGGAGCCTCTGGAGGATCGAACTCAATCTCCTTGGCGTCAATCATGTTTTGAATCTTGTATTTCAGCGCCCAACAATCGTTAGTATCATGCCCGGAACTGTCGGAATGATAAGCACATATTGCATTGAGATTGTAGTTAGAAGAAGAAGTTTTAGGGTTTGGATGAGGTCCTATCAACGTAATCAGATTCATCCTCAAACTCCTCTTCGTGATTCTTTTGTTCCAAAGGCAGTCATGGTTTCATTTAGTGAGGGTAACTCTTTTCTGAATTACTTGAATCCTTATTGGATCAAACTCGTTGTTCAGACCTGTTAAGAACTTATAGATTATATCCTTCTCCTTATAATTTTTTAGTAAAGTAGGACCTGCTATGCATTTTGCTTCAAAATGTTCATAGTGATCCAACTCTAACTATATATTTTGTAGAGTTTGGGCATACTCACTAATGGACCAATCTCCTTGCTTGGTAGTCGCAATCTTCATCTTAATTTCATAAATTTGTGTTGTATCACCAACCTTGGAATAGTTTTCTTTACAACCGTCCCACACCTCTTTGGCAGTCTTCATGAATATGCACACACCATTAATCTCAGACACCATGGAATTCCATAGCCATTACATTACAACAACATCTTCTTCATCTCATGCAACGAATTTCTTGTTTGTAGCATCTGGAGTATCCTTTCCAGTAAGATGATTCAATTTGCCCTTCCTCTTTAAAAATGTTTGGACAAAATGAGACCATTTGAAGTAGTTTTTACCATTGACACAAAGGCTAGGTTGAACATTTTGCAGCTCAACAGAGCCAATGTTTAGGGCAGGGGGCAGGGGTATTAGTTGGTTCATACATTCTGAGTTTTGTTGGGGAAAACAACAATATAAATCGTAAAATAAAATTGGAAATGCAGGCCGCACAGTGGAAACAATGGCAATGCAGGCCACAATTTTTAACAGGATCCTATGGATTTTGGAGCTCTCATGCCATGCCAGAGATAATTTTTCTCATATAATTGATAGAGCAACATGTGCTCTTAAACAAAATACAATGTACTTAGAAAAGGAAATTCCTAATAAATACTCATCATTGCCCTCAGTCAATTCTATAATTAAGGCCCTATAATTTCTATAAATACATACACAGCCAATCAAATACTATTTATGGGATTTTAATCCTATTTAAATATAAAATATATAGTCAATTAACACATGTACAACTGGTTCTGACACATTATTATAAAAATATTAATATTTTCATATTAAATAACAAATATTGTTTATCAAATATATCATATATTAAATATATTATTATATAACAATAATTAATCTTAGTTTCAAATTAAATAATTTTTTTTTGCACTACCGCAATAACTAATCACACGAATCAAAGAGATTCTCCTTAAAAAATGAGCGACACATTCTCCTTAAAAAAATTAACATTATTTAATAATGAGTTTGGAGTTCAGAATCTCTATTTAATAATCTAGAATAAATTGTTTACCACATCATTCAAATATTCTTGAATAGATGAGAGTTAATTTATAATGTTTTTTTAAAACAAAATAATTTTTATTAGATGTCAAGCAGAAGATTGTTAAGGCTAGACAAGACCTCATCTTAGCTTAAAATGATCTCACAAAGAATATATTTGATAGGCATTAGATTGATGAGGTTAAATAACTCATTGATGAAGTTATTAGATGGAACCAAATGGAGGAAAAGTCGACGCTTCAGAGAACGAAAATCGATTGGTTGAAGATGGGGGATGGTAACAATGCGTTTTTCCATGCTTATCTTAAGACCAAGAAGAACAATAAAAGTATGAGGTTCTTACAGAAATCTGATGACATTATTATGTCTCAACAAAAGGATATATAAAATGAGGTCATGGAGTTTTATAGTAATCTTATGGGGACAACTAGTCACATATTGGTTCATGTAGACATTAAAGCCATGAGAAAAGGTAGCCAAATTAGTATGGATCAGAAGAATATTTTGAATAGTAAAATGACTATCAAGAAAATAAAAACAACCTTACAAGATATTGGTGATTTGAAAGCCCCTGGGGAAGATGGTTATGGTGTTAAGTTTTTTAAAGCTTGTTGGCATATAATAAGCAAAGATGACATAAAAACTATGATGAAATACTTTGATCATGGGAGAATCTATAGACCTTTCAACAAAACCGTTGTTACTTTGATTCCCAAAAATGAGCAAGCTAAAGGTGTGAAGGATTATAGACCCATAGCTGGGTGAACAACATTTTACAAGATCATATCTAGGATTCTCACTGCCAGGTTGGGTAAGGTTTTGCAGGGAACTGTGAGTATGAGTAAAG